GGAATTTTTCATCAGTAACAGTTTATACCTGTTACAAATTCACATCAAATATGGGATCATAAAAATATCAGTCTCAAAAAATATTATTGAAATGACAATTTAATGTTAAAACTTTCTGCAAGCAAATATAAAAGCAGTGGCAGTTCTTTGAAAATTAGTGCTTTTGAAAAATGTAAAAGAATCACAACTACCATAAAGACAATAAAAACTTTGAGCTAAGTTTTTGCATATATTTTAATAAAACTGGAATTTACGCCTTTATAAAGTCCTTCTCCTTCCCTGGGCTACTTTCTTAGGACAAAACACTGTTTTACTCCTGCAGATGTCTCTATGCTTGGGTGCCCTAACAGAAAATGGCAAATAAAGAGAATATAACTGCCACTCTCCTTCAGAAACAAGTTTCTCACTCTTACAACGGCTCTCTTCCAAATTCTCTCAAAAACTATCCTTTCTTAGATGTTAATTCAAGCAATTTATTTCCACTTAGTTAAAAAAGTGATTATCAAAATAAAGGACACCCCCTCCCCCTTAAAGGAATAACAAATGGTATCTTTATTCAGGATATGGACATCAATAAGAAAAAAAAATGAGAATGTATCAAGGGGAAAAAGCTAGCTTTAGATCACTTATAATGTACAAAGTAGGTAGATGCCTAACTCTGAGAAGGATCCTAAACTGTTACAGAAAAAAAAAAACAAAAAACTACAGTTGCATATATCCTAGCGGTGAAATCTGTGATAATACAGCTAACATTACAAGACTATTTGTTTTAGCTTTCCCAGGTACAAATGAATGCCCCTTTTGTACAAAATAGGTGCAACTGTAAGGAACAAGAAGGAAATCTATGCAGGAAACCTATGAGGGAAGGAGCAGCAGACTATAGAATCTGCCTACGTAAGATTAGCAACAAAACTTTCGGAATTTTCAGAGATGATATGTCTGATGAGTAACATTTGCCTACTGCATTTATCTTACAAGATAAACGTACTGTCTACTTGATATGATCGCATATAATCTTAATTCCTATACATCATTAAGTAAACACAATGTGATTTTTCTCTTGCTGTTAAACATTATTTTTGATGCACCTTTAGAGAGAAGGTCCATATACTTCTTCATATCTCAAAGGGTCTATGACACCCCCAATAAAGGTTAAGGAGTTCTGCAGTGAAGAGTGCTTAGTAATTCATCAAAGTTACTAAAAAATCCAGGTAATTCATCAAAACGGGAAATCAATGGAGTAGTAGCCAATACTTTATCTGTGTTTAGGTTAGAAAAATAAGCTGACATATATGAAAATCACTTCTCCTTCCTCCAAAAAACACGTCCTTACCTCTGGTACTTGAACAAAAGATTAAGAAAAGCCCAAAATGAGATGGCAAGTATGTGCAGAAGCAAACACCATAGCCACATTAAAAAGTAACATTCTTCATATGAGATTTTACAAGTAGAAAATAAATTGGGAAAAAATTAAAATATAAAACAAGCCCTTTTTTACTGTAGTAAGATTTACTTGCAATATGATTCATCTCCTCTTGTACTTTATCAAAGATTTGTACCAGTTGCCAAAGCATGCAATTAGATTTATGCCGTCTGAATGCCTTCAAAGCTCTATTTCCCTTCGTGCATTCCAGTACCATCTGACAAATGCATGTCCAAGGAGTAAACTACAAGAACAAAGTTAGTTTTATAGCTGTCCAAATAGAATTAAGGCACAAAAATAAAATTAAAGCCCAGTTCGTGCTGTTAAGTAAACTAAAATCATCTAAAACACATTTGAAAGGGAAATCATTCCATGCCAGATACACAGACGTCAAAACAAAAGCAAAATAAAATACTGTGTGAAATGTGAAAATCCTTTCGAATAAAAACACGGCAAGAATAACAACACTGCATGATTATTTGTTTTAGGTCTCTGATCTCTGATGCTAACATCATGCACGGGGGCTGAAGTCCTAACAACTGTTAAGTCAACACGGTCACCAAATAATCAGCGGTCACAGCACTTCCATTTCTAATCTTTTAGAGGAGGAAACTATCCGCCGGCTCACTTTCCGGCTTATAGCTCACAACGGCCACGGGACCCACTGGGACTGCGGCCCTAGTGACTCCGCTCCGGAGTGCCATCTCCGCGGATCTCCCTCTGGGATGCGAGCGGCGAAAGCGAGGACTCACCGGCAATCCTTGAGCCATATCGCGATCTTCTCGTTGGGCACGTTTCCTGCGGGGCAGAGTGAGGGGACAGCTCGTTACCGACCCCAGGCGGACTCCGACCGCTCGGTCAACCTGGACACTCCCATGTAGGAAAATCTACTGGGGTTAAAATGCAGCCTAAGCAACATGTCTTAAGTGTCCATCTGAAAGGAAACGAGATGGCACCGGGGTGTCTATGTTGACTCTGGAGACGCCTCGCCAAGCGCGCGCATTTAAAGGTCCAATGTGTCCCCTCTCCCCCGGCTTAGCAAGTCCTGGAGGATCTTCCAGAACTCACAGCAGTCGCCCAGGGCGCACGAGACTTTCCCCCGCCCGCCAGCCTGCACTTCCCCGAGTCCCCCCCGCCCAGCACGACTCGGCCGGGCGCACAGACCTCTCCCCGCCGCCGCCGGCAGCTTCGCGCCCGGGAGGTCGTCCTCGTCGTCCTCGTCTTCGTCCTGCGTCGTCGCTTCTGTGGACAGGTCCTCCGTTTCCGACGCCTGCCAGGAGCCGCGGCACTTGGCCCAGGCCTTCCTCCTGCGACTCGCCACTTGCCACTCCAGTTCCTCCTCCGCCTCCGCCGACGCCACCAGAGGCCGGTCCATGGCCGCACCGGGGGCTCCGCTGCCCCAGCCGGAGCCTGCGTGAAACACGGCGGCGGCGGGGACCCCCGCCCCTGCTGTCAGCGCCCAGCCGGGCTGGGGGCCCCGGGGAGCGGGAGCGGGCGCGGGAGGGGGCGGAGGAGGAGGAA